CACACACACACACACACACACACACACACACACACACACACACACACACACACACACACACACACACACACACACATATATATATGTATATATATATATATATATATATATATATATATATATATATATATATATATATATATACACACATATATATGTATATGTGTGTGTGTGTGTGTGTGTGTGTAAATATCACTGTATGATTATATTCAAACGATAGACATACATAAATAGTCGTACATTTAACATTGTTTTAAATCTAGTAAAACCTTTCGACGGACGAACCCAACAAAAATGAACAAAGAAAAAAAAGATAGTTATCAGAAAAATTTCTATGTACTGGTATTTTCTATGCATTGGTTTTCACGTAGTATTCTGAAAAAAATGTTTATACCCTTTCAAATATATCAAAGCCACTTTACTATCACCTGGCAGTAAAGTGGCTCTTGGCGGTCTCGAAGTTGTAATCGATACTGCTTCACCTCGAAAATCCAAGCGGAAGTATATCCAATACATGTTTTTATTTTATTTCATTCGAAACGCACAACATATATAATACTTCTGTCATGTGTAAATCGAGAGTTTACGCTGAAGTCAGCTTGAAGATGATAATTTAACCAAGGGTGAGATATAACTAAACATTTTCAGATCCGTATAATTGCAATGGTCACGTCAGTCTCAATAGAATAGTAATCGAGTTGTATCTTTTCAACATTTTTTTGTTCAATTATGTATTTAAGTCTCACAATTCCGATTAAATCAAATATAGATATATAGAATAGTTTCTCCTTGTACAACAATTCTCAAAGAAAATGAAAGCGAGTGACTATCCATAAAAAACGTAAAATTTACAGGGGATACTTCTTCCTTTCATTATATATCATCAGCATCAGACTGAGATACCTAAAAAAAATCCAAGAGACCTTTGCAAAAATCATTTATGTTAACACAGAAAAAAACTAACGAAATGACTGTGCCATCTAAAATTTATTACAGTATTGGGAGAACCAGCATCACAAAACTAACACCATGCGCCATCTAATCAATACCATGTTATGAGTTACCACAAATAGAAATCTAAAAAAAAACACATGGACAGAGGCGTCAATTTGGGGAGGGGACACTGCCCCTCATGACTCTGTTTACCCCCTCAAGTTCTGTCTTAACCCCCCCCCCCAAGGGCCACACCACAACAACTTTTAGAGCTAATTGAATTTGATTACAGACACATACAAAGCAGAATAGACTGGTACAGCAACGGCCTTCTCTCCAGCCTCTCCTAATTGACGCCCCTGGTTATCATCGATCTTTATATATTCTAATACTGTATATTCATATATAGTAATACTAGATTCGCCTCTTAACCAAAAGGTCCAAGATCAGATGCTTGCTTCTCCTTTTCCATTAAACTGTACTGCAACTAGTGGTAGTAGACCTACAACAACATATGAATAAATTTGTATGTATTGTCCGTGAATACCAGAAAATTTTGATATACAGAAATATACCATACCATTCAGTCAATATAGACTTATCATTAATCCAAAATGGATTTTGTCCATAGTTTATTTAGTGTTATTCACCACTCCCCAATAAATATAAATCCCCAGCTAACTTCACTCACCCCCCCCCTCCCAAGCAAAAGCTGAAATGGCGCCCCTGTACAGGGGTGTCCCAGAAAATAGGTCAGGGTAGGCATTTTTTTGTCCCGAGAATGTTGGAAAAGCAAAAGGATGCAATGCCAATTGATATGATATATCGATAACTTTGTTCTAGGCCTCCCAGTCAAAATTTCTTGCCCCTTCTGTCCCTATATGTAAACTTTTCTAGTCCCGCCTGTGTCACACTGTCACAGCCACACCAAGGGACAGTTTGTGTCCTCGAAGGTTTTGGAACTAGGATTTAGCAGTCAGGAGAATAACAGGTACATTAACACATTACGAAACACTTCATCGAAGGCTTTAAAGCAGGGACGTCAAACTCAAAACCCTTCGAGGGCCAATTCTCTTTTCAGCTACTATCTCGAAGCCAACAAAGATACATGCCTAAATCTTAAGGATAACGTAATAAAAAACTGATTGATATAACAGCGATGTTAGTAGCAATAGTAATATAAATGAAACTATCACTACTGCAGATCCAGGTTCGAAGGTTCGAGTCCCGGCCGGCGCGCTGTTCCCTTGGGCAAGGAACTTGACCTCGGCGGCCCCGAAGGAAGGCAACGGGAAACCACCTTCGTACACTCCCTTATACAACCATGAAATTAAAAAACATGGTCGCCAACGTCAGGCTCTGATACGGCAAAAAAAAAAAAAAAAAAAAAAAAAATCACTACTGCAGAATTTTTTGTCTCTTAATCATACATTACTTTCTGATTGGCGATCATTATTCCACGGGCTTGAAATTATTGTCACTCCGCGGGCCATATATGACTATCCTGAGGGCCACATTTGGTCCGCGGGCCGTGAGATGAACACTCCTGTTTTAAAGTAAGGAACAAAGCATTGTTTCGTACTATTGATGCGTGTGGACGCTTTAAATATACGCATTATTTATCAATACTGCACGAGTACATATACGTATTTTTCATAACTGATAACTTAGCATTACACAAAAACCGCAAGGGAATAAAAAAACAGTGCCGCTAGGTTAGACGAGGGTTTACGTTGATATATTCCAGAACTGAGAAGTGATACTGTTATTTAGATGTTTAACACTGCCCACCACTTCCCGATAATATATACCGAAAAGAACTAGCAGTACTTCTTCAAAACGAATGGTAGGCGGGACTATCAATTTATCATTCTAATTCACAGTAAACAACATCTTCCTTTAGAATATAAACAATAGAGCGGTGTCTGGCTGAAGAATGAAAGGACAATGATACTCTTCCTCCCACTTCAGACATACCCTTAGATATTTCGTATTTCCATATTTTACTCTCAGTCCTCTGGTATAAGTCTGTATGAATATTATATCAAGAGTAATCTGTATAATACTGGGTTCATTACATTGTCTAACTAAGGTATACAAAACTCTTATTGATATACAAAGTTTATTGGCTTAAACTCTACATCATCTTGCTAGAGGCTTAATAGTGTTCTAAGGGAGTTGTAATCCAGTCACTATAGGAACCGTCTGGACATCGGCGATGCCTTTGGTTCTCTATACCTTACACTTGCGGTAGAGCTAAACTTCTGCGCTTGGGCTTCCGCTTGGTAATCGAAAGTCAGGATCTTGATACAGAAAAACAAGCCTCCGCTAAAGGAATGTATAAGAAATTCCCAATCGACTATTGCTGGTTGCCTTATGCAGTGGGTCCACCAGATGATGGTCAGGTCTTCATTGTGCTTTCTACTTGATAGTCGGCTGTTCTAAAAGAACTTACAGATAGAAAAGAGGCATAATGCATCAATGCAACTCTGTATTCTCCATGAAAAAACCCTGCATAGTTGACAAGCCAAATATTACATGTCAAAAATATGATAAATTTTAAAAGATAAGGAAACTATTCCTTCCAATAATTTATTACCATAGGATAAATATTAATTCCAATAATTAAATAGATAATTAAACCTTAAATAATGACTAACAAAAATTGACAAATCTTAAAAAATACGTTAGTAAGTAGACCTAATATGTACGGAACAACGCGTAAGAACATACCTGCCTCAATATTTTTTTCAAGAGGGATTCAATACCCTTTTCATCTGAGTGCTGGCATGACTATTTTCTGACTTATTGTCAGTTCTGACAATATTACGTAAAATGTTTTTATAAAAAAAGGAAAGAAAAAATGTGACCTGATCTTACAAAAATATAGGGTATTGCGGCCGGTTAAAAAAAATATTACATATACTATGATGATTTTACCAAAATTATGGCATGGTTATACAGGCGGGATAATACATAAATATAAAGTAAAAAGAGACTACACACACATTGCATTGATGAATATTACACATAAAAATCTTACGAAGAAAGGTATAAATATTAAGTGAAATGAACCTACCTAAATGGGCTTGGGATAAAATCGATTCCAGAATAGATTTCCACACGTACAGTGAAAAACAAAATATCAAAACTGACCTCATTAATTTTTCTTCTTTAATCTTTATCTCTTTAGATTGGATAAAATGTGTTTTGAAGAAGAAAAAAAACGCGAGTGGGATTTTCAAGTACATAAATTAACAGGTAAAGCAGACACTCCCTTATGGGATGAATGAACGTTCCTAAGTTTCTAATAAATATCACAGTAAAGTTCACCTCTCTTCTCCCTCCACGTACTGTATTACACAGCTACAAGATTAATTGTATTTTCATGTAAAAAAAGGTATATATGGATTCGTTATAAAAAAACTGCTTCCTTTTCAAAAATAGTTAATAAACATCTCATTATTTCATGATATTTTTGTATCCCAATATATTATTCATATTACCTTTATACCTTATACAAAGACAACGAAGGTATGGCACCACAGGAATAAATGGACTGTCGATTACCACTAGCAGTCCCGTGAGGACTGGGAGACGTCATTTTAGCTGTATTACCCTCTATTGGAATACTTATAAGACATTCGGTTACTTGAGGAACTGATTTTAAAGCGAAAACTGGAATCTGTTTTGTTTTTATCGATTCTTGCCCAGCCCTACTACCTACCCATTTAATAAGAATGACATGATGTATTAATGTACAGTAAAATGAAACTACCTACACATTGCAGTTTTGGGGAATATATATAATAACCCACACCCCTACCCAAATAATGAATAGATCAATAGATAAAAAAATAAAAATAATCTTTTCCAAAGCCTTTGGATAAGATGCTTGCATACATCAACTTCACGCAATCCAAATTCGCCATTATAGGAACAAAGGAAAACCTGTATACACCTTCCCTTTCCCAACGTGACGATGCCGATTTTGCCCATTGCTTTAAATAAATATCACAAAGAAAACATATATAAAACTAATCCACGGCGTTCGTTCACAAAGTTGTTTAGAGCTTGGTGCAGTTACTGTCATTATCTAACACCGTAAGGACAGTAACAGCATCGTGGATAGTGTGGAAGACCTTCTCAGCCGTGATTGTCTTCAGAGTACCGCACTTTTCTAGGCTATCCAGTACACTTTCTGTAAAGCAGATGTTATTGTGATCTCAGTTTCTTAAGTAGAGTTAGGGTTTATATCAACATTATTAGCTTACATAAGGTCCAGGATATATATATATTTTTTTCATGGAACTCTAGCAAATGAAAAGAGGTGCAAAGAAGAAGAGGAATAATAATGATAATAATAATAATAATAATAAGCAAATGAAGAAAAGGAAGGAGAATAATAATAATAAGAATATGAAAAATGATAAGAATAAGAATAAGGAGGCGGAGGAGGAGGAGGAGGAGGAGGAGGAGGAGGAGGAGGAGGAGGAGGAGGAGGAGGAGGAGGAGGAGAAGAAGAAGAAGAAGAAGAAGAAGAAGAAGAAGAAGATGATATAAGAAGAAGAAGAAGAAGAAGAAGAAGAAGAAGAAGAAGAAGATATAAGAAGAAAAAGAAGAAGAAGAAGAAGAAGAAGAAAAAAGAAGAAGAAGAAGAAAAAAAGGAAAAGAAGAAAAAAATAGAATGAGAAGGAGGAAAATGAAAAGGAGAATGAAAGAAAGGAAGAAGAAGAAGAAGAAGAAGAAGAAGAAGAAGAAGAAGAAGAAGAAGAAGAAGAGAAGAAGAAGAAGAAGAAGAAGAAGAGAAGAAGAAGAAGAAGAAGAAGAGAAGAAGAAGAAGAAGAAGAAGAAGAAGAAGAAGAAGAAGAAGAAGAAAAAAGAAGAAGAAGAAGAAGAAAGAAGAAGAAGAAGAAGAAGAAGAAAAGAAGAAGAAGAAGAAAAAAGAAGAAGAAGAAGAAGAAGAAGAAGAAGAAAAAAGAAGAAGAAGAAGAAGAAGAAAAAAGAAGAAGAAGAAAAAAGAAGAAGAAGAAGAAGAAGAAGAAAAAAAAAAAAAAACAAAAAAAACAAAAAACAAAAAATACTCTAACCATATGTAATGTTACACTAAATAAAATAGAAATGACCTCCTTTCAACATTTTTATCTATATATCAATGGACAGAAAACGGGACTCACGGGCAGGGAGAGAACTGCATGCTTATCATTCATGTCGTTTGGCTTGTCTTCAAATTCCTCAGGAATCTTTTCCGTACTCCCGCGCACACCATTTTCCTATATTAAAAAAAGAAGTTCATTAAAAAAAATTCTGTCAAGAACTTAAATACGTCGTTTGTGTGAAAAAGGAAACATGGGATGGAAAGCACGCAAAAGCGCATCATAGTCGTATTTCACGTCTGATAAAATGCTGACGCTTTAAATGCCCAGATGAGCAAAACACTGTTTTATTTTATTCTATAATGAAAATCATAAAACTTTAACAGGATGGCCTTTTATGCGAGAATACAGTAGTATGCTGCTATTTTCATGTGAATTCATAACAGAAAAATGAAAGTCTGTGTTACTGATAGTCATACTTTATAACATCCTGAAGGTAAAAAAAAACAAAAAAACTCTGCATTACCTTGGCAGGGTCGATGATAAGGTCAGATTTTGCCTGCTCCTTCTCAAGGGCTTTCTTTTTACTAACAATAGCACTGGGGTCCAGGCCAGTCATGGAGAACATCTGAGTTCGGAAGTATTCACTGTTTGCGAAGTGGAGCGGCCCATTGAAGTGGAAAATGGAAACTGAAGGTACCTCTGCAGCCTGTGGTACAAATCAATATGCAGATTAATATATGGTTCGTCCTTTGATGTCAAATTGAAATAATTATTTTTCTTAATAAACTGAAAAAATACAATTGTATATGACCTAAAAATACTGCCATTCTATGAAAGAAACTAAGCACACAATTCCAAAGACTCACCGCGGAGTACTTATTAATATCCAGGTAAATATCCGTGTTGGGGACAGAACCAAGGATGGCCGTGCTGGGCTTTTGTCCTCTGTACAGCAACACGAACAGCGACACCACGACCCCAATCAACAGGCCGAAGTCGATATCGATGATAACAACAGAAAGGAAGGAGGCGAGCCATATCATGGCGTCGGCGCGCGAGATGGCCCACACCCTCCTCAGGTCGTTTACTTGCAGGAACATCCCTTTTAGTGCAACGACGATGACGGATGACAAGACACACTGTGTAGGGAGAAGGTAGCAATATAATACTGACGTCACTAACTAATAGTATAAGAATAAGAAATATGCATGTTTAGTATCTGCAATACACATTGGGGAAAATATAAAATACGTAAAAGATATGCATGCTCAACATGACCAATACACACTCACAATAAAGTTCGTAAGAAATACGTATGTTCTCTAAAAAAATACACACTTTACAGAAAGATGATAACAAACTTTCCACACCATACATTACATAAGAAATATACATATACAAATATATTTCATTACCAATATTAAAAAAACTACACATAATCCACAGAAAGCACTCACATTCGGAAGCGTTTCAAACACGGGACCCACAAACAGAAGGACAAGCAGCAGGAGCGCACAGGAGATAACGGTGGTCATCTGAGTCACGCCTCCGACCGCCTCTTGGATCAGCGAGCGAGCGAGCGAGGCGGCGATGGGACCGCAGCCGAAGAAGGCTCCGAACACGTTGCTTGCGGACTGATGGAGGGTGAGGGAATTCGAATGATTTTTTATTGCAGATTAGCTGTGCAGCTGTTGTAGATGTTGTTTTCTTTTTCGTATACCTCGCTAAATGGGTAGTAGTATATGAACTCATTCTGAAGCAATGAGTTATCATATAAACTTTCTTTCGATTCTATTTATTTTCATGAGACAACATTCAGGTAATCTCAATTTCTTCTCGACTACCTAACCATAACATGCAAAACTATAACATGCAAATCTTCCTCATTTATCATTTACCTGTGAATATAACTCTTGAGCTGCGTCGACTTCATAATTATGCTTCTTCGCAAATATCTTCGCCATGGAATAAGACACGGTATACGCTACAATAGTGATGACAAAGGCATCAACCACTACTTTTGGTATAAGCTCGAACGGAGGTATTTCCGGCTGAGGCAGTCTGAAAATAGCATCATTTCGATCTCATTAAGTAATCATCACACCGTAGTCCAATCTATCCATCTATTTACATCTAAGCTTCCTTTCCGATTCATAAACTTCAAATTACCCGCAAGTATAATAATAGAACAATAAAAAATATGTAAATAACCAAATAATGTAACATATAAATAATCAAATTACCCATAGATAAATAAATTAATTAAAAAAAGAAAAGAAAAAAAAGAAGCGGTTCAACGGCCCTATAACCCTCCTTCACTCACCCAGTCGGAATTTCCCCCACGACGAGGAGGTCGAACTTTTCATTGAGGTTTCCGAAGTAGGAGGCGGCCGTTCCGAGAATCACCACGATAAGTTCAATGGGAATCGGGATGTTCGTCTTCTTGCGTAGTCTGGGCTGTTTTTTTTGGGGAAGAGGATTTCTCACTGGTTAGAACACTGAGAGGCTGGGTTTTCATTTGTATGTGTAAGGGCAATGCAAATAGTTTATAAGTTTTATTAAGGAGGTGAAAAGAACAGAAATTCAAGATATGTGATTTAATTATAGGTAGCTCTATTGTTTCTATTATTTTCATTCATATAGGGAATAGTTTGCATTGACATTATATAGGTGACGGTACTCGATTACTAAAAGAAAACGGAATATCTTACCTTGATCACCTCATTGTTCACTGTTAAAATAAGTATTGTGATTGCAGAGCCGATCACAGCTGCTATGTTAGAGTGCAGCAATTGCTTGATGATATCACGATACGTCTAGAAAATGGTAAAAAAAAAAGATAATAACGGCCATGTATAGGTTTTTCTCCCTAGAAATCTAATGCCTATTCATTCAGCTTGTTTCCACTTGATATAGAAATCAGTATACATCAGTTTCTTCTGAAAAAAACTGGAGACCACTTTCTCTAATATTCAAACTACATACCATAAGAAAAAAAAGTAAAAACATCAACAACAACGCATCTTACATAAATGATCTTGAACGGACCGCTGTGCCCTGGGACATGAAGCCCAAAGAGGTATTTGACCTGCGACGTCAGCACGTGAAAGGCCGCCCCTGTGGTGAAGCCAGACACCAGCATTTCGGAGAGGAAGACGCTGAGGGAACCGAGCTGCAGTAACCCCATGATGAGCTGTGAGGGAGGAGAGTAAATGGTAGATGAGGAAGGGAGGGAGGGAGAGGGAGAGGGTCAAGGAGAGGGAGGGAAAGAGAGAGAGCAAGAGAAAGGGAGAGGGAGAGGGAGAGGGAGAGGGAAAGAGAGAGGGAAAGAGAGAGAGAGAGAGAGAGAGAGAGAGAGAGAGAGAGAGAGAGAGAGAGATAGATAGATAGATAGATAGATAGATAGATAGATAGAGAGAGAGAGAGAGAGAGAGAGAGAGACAGACAGACAGAGAGAGAGAGAGAGAGAGAGAGAGAGAGAGAGAGAGAGAGAGAGAGAGAGAGAGAGAGAGAGAGAGAGAGAAAGAAAATAAGAGAGAAAGACAGAGACATAAACACACAGAGATCCATCATTGAAATATCCTTGAAACACCAACAGAAGACACTGAAAACTCAACCAATCACCCAAGCTTTACTTACCTCCCAGACCCCAACCATAAAAGAAACTATAGTGGCGACTTGAACAGCTGTATAGGACGTTGTGGAATTGCCTGCTATATCACCGTCGACGACAGCGCCTTCAGGAGTGGCCAGGTCCGTTACGACTTTCCCGGTCATCAGGCAGACAACAGCAAAGCTACCTGTATTGAAGGGATTAAATACTAGTCAATTTCTTTTAGCAGTATGTATTTTTTTTTTCTCGGGCGGGGCAACTGGAAGACTGTTTTGTGTAGGGCCCATACTAAAGGGGGTTTAAATCAATATGCTACATGTACTATATATCCTATTCGGGGGATAGGATCTCAAGGACGGAGTTTTGAAATGATAATATTCATGTACCCTGAGGGTTAATCATAGTTTAGAATAATAGGAATAATGATGGTAGATCGGAATCACGTGCTAATCCATCCTGGCTAAACCTCTGATTTTATTGCCTTCCTCCGTAACATAATCATTATCATCTTCAGAATAACTTTTATTTCACATTTTCAAAACTATTTTCTCTGTCTCCATTTTCCTATCTGGCAGCTTTTCTGTCTGTTTCTCTCACTTACTTTCACTCTCTCTCTCTCTCTCTCTCTCTCTCTCTCTCTCTCTCTCTCTCTCTCTCACTCACTCTCTCTCTCTCTCTCTCTCTCTCTCTCTCTCTCTCTCTCTTTCTCTCTCTCACTCTCACTCTCACTCTCACTCTCACGCTCCTCCCTCTCTCTCCACGTCTCTCCCCCCCTCTCTCTCTTTCCCTTCTCCCTCTGTCCTTCCTCTTCTCGTTTCTCCTTCTAATGCTAATCCTGTTTCTCTCTCTCTCCCTTACAGATTCACCGTCACTTATCCATTTCCTTCTCCATATCCGTTTGATCCTTCTTTCCTTCATTTTCTTCCTCTCTCCCACTCTCATTAATTCCTTTTCTCCCTCTTTCCCTCCTTCCTCCATTCCTTTTCTCCCCCGTTCCCTTCCCTTTTCCATTCCTTTTCTCTGTCTCCTCTTCCTTCTCTCCATTTTCTCCTCCCTCCCTCCTTCGTTCCCTATCTCCTTCCATCCCTTCCACCTTCCTCCCTTCTTTCCTTCCTTCCCTCCCTTCCCTCCCCCGTGTATTCCATCAGGCAACGCTACACGACACGTACCCATGGAACAATGGCGTGAAGTACCCAGGAGAGCGTAGATCAGCACGGGGAAGAAGCCCATGTAGATACCATTCACAGGAGGGATGTTTGACAGCAGTGCGAAACCCATACCTGTAGGAGGGCCAGTGGGTTAGTAGTTAGGTAAGGGTCAGGGCCGTAGAATGAAGGAGTGAATAAAAAGAGGTAATTTCAGGGTATAAAATCTAAAAAGGGGTTCCCTGGGACGAGGATGTGTTTGAAATACATTGCAGGTGTTTTTTTTTCATTAAAATATCGCTCTTTACTCTGATTTGGACGAAATGGACAAACTTATTGAAAAAAATCCTTTGTTTTTAAATTTAACGTCAGTGTTTCTCCTTTGTCTGGGTATGATTAATAACTATTCTTATGAAGTGTATTATCGCAAAAATTAATTATACCTAAACACATATTTAACTATATTCAAATGAAGACTCCTATAACAAAAAAAATCTTTGTATCGTATCTCAAGGTTCTTGGGTTCGTGGACCTGATACATACTTGGTATCCATATCCACACAAATCTTACCCTGAGGAATGTGCATGATGGCAATCGTGACGCCGGCAATGATGTCGCCAAGAAGATGTTCCCTGAAGTTGTACGCCGGCAGCCACGACAGGATGGGCAGGCGGGCGGTGATGGCGGACGTCAGGCAACCGCAGGAGAAGCTGCATGATTTCGCCACCTTCGTCTGGATCGCCTCCCGCAGCCCTGTAGAAAACATACGATGATTATTTCTATTCTTCATTATACCCACTTGGAGTTTCACGTGCATGGAGTGAAGCGCGCTGTGATTGGTGAACGTCAGAAGCCCGCGACGTGCTCTGATTGGCTCTAATTACATAAGTTACGTTCTGGGGTAATGATGGTCAACTTGCGACCGAGAAGAAGTCATGAGATTAGTGTTTATATGCGAGGAATTTATATTCCTGTTTTCGCGCTTGTAAATCAACTTCTAGAGACCAGGGGAGTTGGTGGAGGGGGGAGGGGAGGGATCAGATGTACCCCTCCAGGCAAGGTCGAAGTTAACGATGCACGTTTTACTACAGTATTTCCTTGAACTCTCTTGCTCAATCTTTCCACGTCTGGCTAAAAGGTGTAATGCAACATCTCACAGTCAGACATATTGTTCTATAATTTCCTCTCTTTAGAACTTTCCCCCATCTAAAAATAGTAGGAAATGATGAAGAAAAAACGAAAATACTGACTTGAGTTGAAGTTACATGACCGTGAAAGACCGTACGAGGTTCAAGGTTGCGATTTTCACTTTTTTTTAACTCTCACTGAACTGACCTGGCTGGAGGGAAGGGATGCCAGATCGTGCTTGAGTACCCAATGATGCGATCTGGTAACTTACTTCCCGCGCGTTAAATAATTACAGATTCTACAATCACAATTTCATATCAGGAAATAGGATACCATACATAAGTGGGAAAGCCAAACAGTATGAACCAGGCATAAATGCACAAATAAAAGCAAATAAGAAATATAATAAACGGTAAAGAAAGGAAAGGAGCTAAAGCAGAAGGCGCCGAAGGAAGCCGCAGGACCTCACCTGGAGAATGGCCGGGGTCGAAGTGGTAATGCTGGTTGCGTTGGGCGACGTTGAGGGTAGGGCGCACCACGCACATTTCTCCTGACGGACTCCCTCCTCCTCCGCCGTCGTTCTTTGACGACATCATCGTCGTCCCTGACTCACTGCGAAAAGAAGGCTTGGTCAGTCTTTTTTTTCTCGAGACGGGTTGGCCTTTCTTAAGGCGCTTAGGAGAAAAATGGTTTTGTTTCATTTTGCGTTACTCAGTGTCCGAGCTGGCATGTTCACCTTGCATGGATAATGACAGACTCTGTAAAAGGCTATATTCTGGTAGTGAAAGCCTCAATGCATGGGGCTGGATGGACAGTGATAGTAGTATGTGTACAGCTTGATTCTTTATTGTTGAAAGAGTACGACACACAAAGAAATAAGTGCACAATACGATAGTCTCGGAGCAAGCGCTGAAGCGGTGGCGTGACCCTGCCAGCGGAGGGCGAGGGGAAGGTCTTGACGGCACGGTGACGAGGCTCTGTCTAACCGTCACCCTGGTTCAACCATAACTGTCATCCTAATTCCCGCCAGTACGCTAGTTTTGGAACCCACGTGGAGTCTATGTGGAGCCTGACTTGGCTTGGGTTTGCATGGCTGCCATTTTAGACTAGCCCGCCATATTGCTCAGCCACCTACTCGCGCTTTGCCCTCGAACATTTGATTTACCTCAAGGAGTGACCACATCATTCTTACGTGCGCTGTACTCGATCGCCTTCGTGATTGCTCGTCCTTATCGGTCTCTTGCTGCTCCTTGGTGACGTTCTCGACGCCCACACGTCCTCAAAAGTCTCGCCCATGCCCTCCTTGACTTCGGATTCGTTCAGACTTCCTCGTAGTCTAACTCGGCTGCATACTCGTATAGTCGTCCTCATAGTCTTCGTCTGGATCTACGAGCGTCCAGGCAGGCGGCGTCCTTCCACTGCATCCTGGGGTGACTGATGTATACACAGACGAACTCCTGGCCCTTACGCTTACGGGCGATCTTCTGGTGACGGCCTTTCCATGGCATCCTAGGGTGACCCTATCTGCAGCAGATTCCTCTTTCGGTGTCGTGTCAGATATCTACTTGAACTACTAATCATCAAATAAGAATTGTGCATCATGTACAACAAACTCGTCGCGACTGGCAAAATCGAGGACAAAAGAGGTACGACATTGATCTTTACGCCCACAGCCACAACAACAAACCCTATTAATGAAAGGTAAGTGTGAGCGATAGAGAATTAAAGTGAATAAAAGTGATTTTGAGTGAAAGTGAGCTCACAAATAATGAATCACAAACACAAAGATTAACGTTCATTCTAACAGTAATGTTATTATTATAAAATGACAATATAAAATCATTTTTTAATGATATGTGACGGAATGCACGCATTAGTGAATGGTGACATGAAAAATTCTCTGAAATGCACGACGCAGTTCTATTTAATGTACATTTCGGGTTCGCTACAAAATTATGATATACCAAGGTAACCATGTCTAGGTTAAGCATATCAGACTACGTAAGACTTCATCGACGGGGGTTCCTATGCCCAATTTATTGAACGAAATTAAGTGAACTGAATTAGATCCGAATGCATGTGTCATTCTCAGATTGAACAATATCATTTCTTTATTGCACTGTCTTATAGGCTCTCTTATGACTGGTTATTGTGACACAGCATGACTTTTGCGTGATATGATATTCTTTCATGTATGTCTTGCGAGTGGTGAGTGACTTCTAGCTTTTCCTTTCAGGATGCTGTCGGTCATAATGGCACTCCTCGTGGGAGGAGGCACCTGGGGCTATGACTGAGGACCTGGGAAGGTTTACCTTAAACCAAGCCATGTGAAGTCCCCGTTCTCACTATTACCGATCCACAACGCTTCCCAGCTCATGTTGTATTACAGGGATCAGTTAAATTCACTTCCTGAAAATTTTACTCTGGACGCACACGCCATTCGTCTATTCAATCGTCTCTTGTCCTCGACGATTGCAGAGTTGGATTCCTTTTTGGGGCCTTTCAAATCACATAGGGGCCGGCGAGGATTATTCAACTTCGTAGGCAAAATTGCGTACGGACAAAACATGCAATTCGCATACCTCACACATTTATTCTTAGGAACTGCAGGGACATGCTTTATCCTTTTATTCCTCCAACTTCTCAACCCCTGTTCGAAGCCTACCAAGAACCTGTTCGTGTGTCTTTCTTCACCACTACCTTCATCAATTCAAGCTCTATCTTGTGCTCGCGCTCTTGTTTCAACTAGTCATATCACCTCTCCCTGTTCCTTCAATGAGGTGAAAAATCAGATCTCGCCTTTTAAGCTCAGCCTTTCACAGATGACATGGCGATATTTCTATTAGTCAACAGCCGCCACAATTGCTTGCAAAGACCTTCAGCAAGATAGGTTGTTGCAGGGAACCTTTGTGCTACTTCATCACTGTGAGTCAAATTACGTCATTCGAAATTCCGGCAATCAAATCCTTCGTTACAGACGTCGCTGCAGATCCTATAGCGATTAGGCCGTCGCTCCTGACCTTGCCGACAATCACCGTCACGATCCTAGACTTGCATCTAAGGGACGTAGGCAAGGTTTGG